GTGAGGATGGGAGGAATGCCAGCTCGCCAATTTATCCCGGTTCTCTGGTGTCACACGCCAGGGGAGGGCGCCTCTGCGTGCCTTTGGGTTCATGCTGCGTGGGGTGGAGAGAGCGGCTGCGCCGCGGAGGAGCATGCGGGGTGCTGGAGAGTCACATCATCGTCCCTTTTCATTAGGAAAGTTTAACAGGCTTGAGCATTATGGGAATGGGGTGTTAACGACTGTTATCTGCCATATTTTCTACTGTGTAAAGGGTTGAGGGTTGGATTTGATATAAAACTATTCTGGGAAAGTTCACATGGCGAATATTGTTACTAATTAGCTAAACTAATCCTATACAGTAGGCAAAACCATTTTGTAGCCGAGGTACTTTGAAAGAAATGGTACCGGATGCCATTTCTTGCTCCGTGTTTTGGCCAGGTTGGTGAGGGAGAGAGTGAGTATGCACCGTGAGGGAGTTTTCTGAGTAATGGAAGCAAGTGTGTTACGTCTTAAGGACCAAAATGTGGAAAAGAAGTTATTCAGTTTTTGAAGGAAGACTTCAAAGTTACATTTAAAGTACTGGGAATGCATTTTGACTTTTTATGCTTCATGACAATTACTGCGTGTAATTCATTGGATGTTCTATGATAATCTTTGGGCAATCATGAATTATTTTGTGTTACTATTAAATGAGTGACTTCACACAATTCTTGCTACATTTTGTAAAGTTTCATTTTATCTCTTTATTTATCTAAGAAATCTTTGAGGACGACCCCGTCCTCAAAGTTCCTCCCAGGAACTATGCTAAGTGCTGATGATGCAGATGCACAAGTCATTCCTCCCACAGATCTGACACTCTAGTGGAAGAGACAGATGATAAACCAGCCATGTTAATTAGCAATAAGTACTGTGGTGAAAAAGTACGGTAAAGGAATAGAGAGAGGCAGATCACGAGGTCAGGAGATCGAGACCATCCTGGCTAACACAGTGAAACCCAGTCTCTACTAAAAATACAAAAAATTAGCCGGGTGTGGTGGCGGGCGCCTGTAGTCCCAGCTACTCGGGAGGCTGAGGCAGGAGAATGGCGGGAACCCGGGAGGCGGAGCGTGCAGTGAGCTGAGATTGCGCCACTGCACTCCAGCTTGGGCGACAGCGAGACGCCGCCTCAAAAAAAAAAAAAAAAAGAAATAGAAGAGACAGGTGAGGGAAAGCCTCTGAAATATTTACAGAGACCTGAATGGAGTAAGGGAGGGCCATTTGAACATCTGGGGAAGGTTCTGAGTAGAGAGAACCAACGAAAAGGCCTTGAGTTATGAGCATGGCCTGCCCTCCTTTGTTTTTGTCATTAGCACACTGAGTTTCCTTTCTCATGTTTCATGTTCCTCGTCATAGGGGGAATCAGATAAAACTAAGATTGATAGGACTTATCCAACTTAATGTCAGTGTTTTCCTTGTACCAGTGGTTCCAGAGTTTTTTGTTCTAGGGATAAACCACACATTCATACATTCCCATTGTCATAGTTGGATTTTGAAAGTCATTCATCGTGAGCTAAAATGGTATTTCTCAACTTAAAAACTTTTTTTTTTTGAGACAGAGTCTCATTCTGTCGCTCAAGCTACCGTGCAATGGCGCTATCTCGGCTCACTGCCAGCTCCGCCTCCCGGGTTCACGCAGTTCCCCATGCCTCAGCCTCCAGAGTAGCTGGGACTACAGGCGCCCGCTACTACGCCCGGTTAATTTTTTGTATTTTTAGTAGAGACGGGGTTTCGCCGTGTTAGCCAGAATGGTCTCCGTCTCCTGACCTCGTGATCGTCCTGCCTCGGCCTCCCAAAGTGCTGGGATTACAGGCGTGAGCCCCCACCGTGCCCGGCCAAAAACTTTTTTTTTTTTTTTTTTTTTAAAAAAACATTGAAGATTCTTTGATATAAAAGTTTTGCCCCTTCTAAGAGATTGAAAAGCTTCTTTTCAGCAAAATTCTGTATCCTACTGTCTTCCCATTTAGAATTGTGTCTAAATTAAAAGTGGGCTCTCAAATCCTGGCAGGGTCCTCTCTGAATTATTTATTTATTTATTAGAGACGGAGTCTTGCTCTGTCACCTAGGCTGGAGTGCAGTGGCCTGATCTTGGCTCACTGCAACCTCTGCCTCCTGGATTCAAGTCAGTTTCCTGCCTCAGTCCCCGAGTAGCTGGGATTACAGGTGTATGCCAGCACTCCTGGCTAATTTTTGTGTTGTTAGTAGAGATGGGGTTTCACCATGTGGCCAGGCTGCTTTCGAACTCTTGACCTCAAGCGATCTCTCCCTGCCCACCACCCCTGGCCTTCCAAAGCGCTGGGATTACAGGTGCCAGCCACCGTGCCCGGCCCTTTCTGAATAAATTATGTCATGAAATCCATTAAAGGTGATGCTGTTTTTGCTGTGTTCTAGATAGCTAGGATTGTCAAGCATTTATGATATAATTTTAAATTATGCTGTTATTTACTGAAGAATTTATAAATAGTAGCTTACCTTGTTCGTTCATTTGTTATACCTTAGTGAGCAAAGGAGCAATATTAATTACTACCTTTACAATATTTGATGTTAAAAAATTTGATTAGTGGGCATTTTATCTGGTAACTCCAGAGAACATTTGATTAATTATTCTTTGATGACATGTTACCAACAATTGGCCTTATGCTTTTGTAATACATTGCTTCTTTAGTACTATGAAATCAAGGCATAATAGGTACTTGTTACTTTTAATGAGAATTTCATACGAATCACATTTTTATAAGGTATCTTTTAAAAAATTAAACAGTTGACTTCAAGGGACCTTCAGAAGCAAAGCACCTACATAAAATGGTGCTTGACAATTTTATAAAGTTAACATAAGCGTGATTTACCACCTTTTCCAACTTATAACATCTGTGAATTTGCTTGAAACACATACTGCCAGCCAGTCATAGTCAAATCCTGTCTTCATATCCCTGCCCCTCCTGGGAGCACATTTATTTATTATGTCTTTGGGTAGTTATTCTTATCATTGGAAGCAGTGTGCTTGATGTTAGTGTTTCAAATCTGTCAGAGGTTACACTTCTTTTCATAGCTACTTTGTAATCCTTTTTCTACGAGGTAAAGAATACATAAAGAGGAATTTATATTAGGTAAGTATTTCATCGTAAATGTTCAGGTATGACTACAGTACACCACATATTCGAAGATGGTTGCCATAATATGCAGGACCTCTGTTGAGTGCACTACCAGCCACTAGCAGAAGATAAAGGAGTATTGTTTTGGTGATTCAGTACGACAAGTGGTGTTGATTTCGTGATTTTCCAAAACGATAAAGAGCTTTTGATGAAGTTCCAAATACCACGCGATCTTCCTTTGGTTATGTAATTACATCATTGGGAAGATCCATGTGTATTACATGTGTATTAAGATATACATTAGCTGTGTATTAAAATTTCAGAGTTTCAGGCTTTGTTTCAAGTTGTACCTAATGGATTTACTATTTTTAAATAAGTTAAAATTTAAAAATTGTCTTGGTTTAAATTTCTAATATGGTAACTATGGATAGATACAACCTACATAAACAAAAGCTTTTTGGAGTTCTCAATCTTAATAGTGTAAAGAAGCCCCGAGACGAAAAAGTTTGAGAACCACACATCCAGAGTAATGTTTTTGCTGTTGTAGAGCATTGCTTTTCAACTAGAGCCATGCATTGGGATCACCTGTGATTACACAAGAACCAGATGATGTTGATTGCTTGTGGGAGGGGGAACTGGTGGCCAATGGTTGAGAACAGGACTTTTTATGGTATCTAACTTCATGCCTTTTCATTTTAAACTCTCTAAATGTGGGACCTACTCAGAATTAATACTGTGGGCTCCATCTCTAGGGCTTCTGATCCTGTAGGTCTCTGTTGGCGCTTGGCATCTGAAACATTAAAATGCGTGAAAGTTACTCTGACTTGCATCTGGAGTCAAGGATGGCTAGTGGATGTGCTCTGTTCCTCTACTGAGCTCTGTGGCTTACTCCCAACTCCCCCCTGACCTCCCCCATCCTTCAGAAAAGCAAGAGTGTGGAACAAATAAGCCACACTGTAGACAAGAAACAGGAAGGCAGAAACTTAGGTCTTCCCAAACAGTTCAACTTTTCTGCAGTTTTTTGAATCTTGAGAAAGCACCCAACTGTGGAGTTTCTGTATTCACTTGAGTCGCATTTATTTTTGTGCATCTTGAAGTTCGGTTGTCATTTTTAACCTGAGGGTGTATAGAATCTTTTGGGGATACAAAGGGCAACTTTTTTGTTTAAAAGCTCTTGGGCCCACATCCAGGTGTCTCTGGAGCCTTCACATTTGGGACTGAGTTCTGCAATTCCAGCTGAGGGTCTTGCCTTGGCTTGGTATCTCTTCTAGTTCCGCTTCTCCTCTGCAGTCAGAGGGTCCTTTCTAGAAAATCAATCTCATCGAATCTGTTAATGGCTTAATTTGTTCTCTACTAATAATCTTCAGGATGAAGACCAAATTGTCTTGCTTAAGGTTAAAAATTGGGTGCATTTTTTGAGTTGTGATTTTAATGACTGTAGTATTTTTTGAGTTGTGATTTTAATGGCTGTAGTAGATATAGTATGTATTTAAATAATATTTTCAGGTTAATAATAATACAAATAGCTAACATTTATAGAAAACTTAAAATATGCTGGATGTTGTGCTTATACCGTGGTAGAATTATGGTGAACCTCATTTTGTAGATGAGAAAACTGAGACTGAGAGATTAAGTAGTTGCTCACTATCATCTAGCTAGGAAATTGCGGGGCCGAGGTTGGAACCCAGGTTTCT